ATGTATGCATTTAGGTTAACATCCGACGTCCCTCCTTTTTTACATAATTTGCAGAAAAAATACATCCGAAGTCCCTCTTTTTTTACATATTCTGCACAAAACATACTTTCTAAGCCCCACAACTGACAGGATATCCCACATAGAAAAAAAAGTTGTTGAATATTACATCCAAACAGGTGCACAGAGGTCATTCCGCTGGTGGTTTAATATTACGTTGCACGATGTATATCGATTTTTCGAACAAAATTACATCTGTTGATGTAATATTGTATCTGATTTCTGATATTACATCATTATTGCATATATCAGCTTGAATTTATTTATTTATTCGTCAATCAATCAAATCGTAGACTACATATTAACATTAGGACTTATGTTCTATGACTTCGCAGGGTTTTGAAATATATTTTTAATTCTGTTGAGGGTATATTTAGGTCAATCATTTCACAATGATGATTATAAACAGTCATCATCTGATTTACAGGTCCAAATTTAGAGTAATTGGTCCGATGGCGATCTACTGCGAACAACTGTCGATTGCGTAATTGTCGGGAAGGTGCATACCAATTTAACCTTGACAATAGATCAGCTGAGTCAATGCGTTGCGAAATGATATTGTTTAATAAAGAAATCTTTGCGTAATCCCGACGTTCTTTCAATGTTTGAATGCTGATCAGCAAGCAACGTGCTTCATATGACGGGAGAGGAAAAGCCGTGCAACCTAACTTACGTAGTGCATATAATAAAAATTGCTTTTGGATTGACTCTATTCGTTCTTCATGCTTTTTCATATAGAGTGACCAAACAACGCTAGAATATTCTAAAATTGAGTTTTGGAATGCACGAAATGATAGCAATCCCACGATAATTTCGAATATCGGATTTTTTACCTGATTTATATATGGGTACTAGCTGAGTGTGCCCGGTCTTGCTCGGGATTCAATATTAGCTTGAGTTTATGCGCCGATTTAAAAAAAGCATGCTATATTGTACGTTGCCCCCCCCCCTATTATCTAAGGGGCTACCCCCTATGATTATCTCCTTATACCCCACACTCGCCCCCACATGCCTAATTTGGTTCCATTTGCTTGATTAGTTCTCGAGTTATGCAGAAATTTCTGTTTCATTTGTATGGTAGCCCCCCCTTACAGAAGGGGGAGGGGTCTCGAACCATCATAAGAACCTTCCACGGCCCCAAAAACCCCTGTATACAAATTTTCACGCCAATCGGTTCAGTAGTTTCCGAGTCTATAAGGGTCAGACAGACAGACAGACAGACAGAAATTCATTTCTATATATATAGATAGATTAAGTAAGATTTTTTCCATTCCTTCGGGAATATACCGGATTCAAGCGACATGTTAAACAGCCAGAATAAAGGGGTTGTGAGTTCAGTTGCTAAGTTTTTCATTAAAATAGGTGGGATTCCATCTGGTCCTGAACCTTTAGTGGCGCCCAAATCTCGTAGGCCATTCCAAATATCTTGAAGCGAAATGTTATTAACGCCAACAGTAGTTGAAAAGTCAGGAAAATAAGAAAAATATTCATAATCACGATCATTATCTGAAAATTTCGTGTATGTTTCTTGAAAAAAGTGGCGAAAAGATTACATATATCATCAGAATTATTACCTTCCTTTTCATCCAATGTCATTTTTGATGGAAAGCTGCACGATTTAATTTTAGTTTTGACGTAATTTAATTACATTGATCGATATTACATTTTTTTTGCTGTGCACCATTTTATTATGAATGGGGGCGGGGCAGAACGTTTCGTTTGTGCAGAATATGGAAAAAAGGATGGACTTTGGATGGTAATATAATTTCATGTATAGAGGTACCAGATATGTTTTCAGTCAGTTGTGTGTAATTCACCAACATAATATCATCGAATATGTCTTTCAAGCAATTTTTTTTCTCAGATTTGTTGGTGCGGGAAGAAATTAAGGGAAAAACTTCTGTTTTTACTAATAATTGTGGTTTGTTTAAAATTTATTTCACGGTGATCGTCAAAGTCCATGTCTTTTTCGGGTTATTGTTGAGGGAGGGGAAGCGAGAGGTTGTTGTGAAGGGGGGGGGGAGGAAGAGGTTGTTGTGAAGGGGGAGAGGGTTTACGTACATTGTTTTTCCTCATTCCTCATTGTGTCGCATTCTTCATTGTGGTCACGCCGTGATCCACCTTTAGCCACTGACTTAGTCCTGCTTACTGCAGGACTTAGTGCTACGCCGTCCGAAGCGGTAATGAGCAGAGGCAGGAGAGCAGCGCTGATTTATATCTTTTCAGGTTCAAGCAGAATGATGTGCAACCAAGTGGTATTCGTTTATGATGACTGGGTTTGGGAAAAAGGCTTATTTCACGAAAACAGTGATAACATTATTATTTGTACATTTTCAAAAGTTTTATTGCAAAAAAATTGAAAATATATTTATTTCAGCAGGTTTGTAATGTAATATCCTATCGATTGGCGTATTTGGATTTAAATTTCATCTATAAATGACAAAGTTACAAGCGTGAAAAACCTAACATTCCTTCACAACACATATTTTTTGATTTGCACCCCAGTATAGTCGACAAAGACGTAGTTCTACGTCAAAAAAAAATCTACGCATATTCGTCACTGCCTGCATTGTTATTGACAATTGTCATGGTTTGCCTTGACTGGTGACTGTTAGCTCAAATGAGTGACCAAAGCTGAATTGTCAATATTACCGAGTATTGTCGAGATTTTGCAGCACTGATCAGGGTTGCTGAAACGCAACATATTCATTACATTTGGCAAAATTATTACACACCTGGGGGAGAAAAACTTGGCTGAATTTAATACAATTTGCTGATACCAACCTTTTTGCCTTTCTCGTACACCAAGTTGTACCGAAAGGCTTGATATCACTTGAAAAACACAATGTCGTTCCAAGACCCGGAGAGACGAATGGCATATAGCAATAGGCTCACCTCAACGGGATTGGAAAATGTTTCTGTATGTGTGTATATATGTATGTATGTAAGTTCGTTTGAGTGATTTTCGCAGAGATGGCTTGACCAATTTGAGTGGAACAAGTTCCAGAAGATGTCTTTCAGATCCTCATAGATCGCTATTGTTTTTTTTTTCGATCAGAATTATGATTCCCAAGATAAGAACAAAAATGTGAATTCCAGATTCCACTGGGGAATTCGTAAAAGATTGATATATCAAAAATTCACCATGCGACACCTAAATCACATTAGAATTTTAATATAAGATTAATGGTGGACATATTCAGACCCAATGATCACAATGGCTTCTTTCAGATGGGTCCCCCGGGAAGTGGACAGCTTCTGACATGCGCCGAAATGCATGAAATATACCTGATAATTTGAAAAAGTTCGTTATGGGGTTTCCTCTCGGGTTCCCTTTGATTTTTCTCGGTTGTTTCCACATTTATACAACTTTTATTCAGACTGCTTCGTTGGGCACTAATACCCCGTTCACATTACAGCCTATATCACGTGATATACGCTGTCTTGCAATGAGCACTCATACATCTAGTTTTCACTGGAAATCCTATGTATGAGTGCTCGTTGCAAGACAGCCTATATTACGTGATATAGGCTGTAATGTGAACGGGGTATAAAACTGCAGGAAAATAATAAACAACTTTACACGGCGATGCACCCGCTAGTGTGCGTATGATAAACGTCACTAATAGCTCTATAACAGTCACAGCTTGTTCGTGCGGTGGATTTGAAAACGTGCGAATTTCTAATGCGTGTTGTAAAATGCATCGCACGTGTAATTTGATTCAAGATGTAAAACAGTGTAACTAAATAAATTTTAAAATTTTCCCTTTATTTCAAAAGTCTGTAAATATCTGTTAAAAAACTTAAAAGTCTGTAAATGTCTGTAACGAAAAATGTGTCTGTGAAAAAAATTAAAGTCTTTAAATTCACAGACATGTCTGTAAATCTGGCATCTCTGTATTCGAGCAGAGCTTTACCTGTGTGTTTGCAAATTTGATTAACCGGAATTCAAATTTGATCCGGATTCATCAGCCGTGTACAATTATAATTAAAAGTGTGAAATCTTAAAACTCTGAAATCTGTAGAATTAAAAAAAGTTGTCTGTGGCACAGATCTAGAGAATAAGAAGAAGTTCTAACAAAACTATGTCTTAGGTGTATGAAGCTTTGTCTGTCCTTTGTAATATATTGTTTGAAATCCCAGAATGCTCCAAAGTTTTTTTTCTCCTGAGATTGGTAAGTCCCAGTACTATGGCAATTCACAGTGTTTTTATGTTACTTCATACGCGAAGTTTGCGATTTTCAGAGCTGGTTGGAAATGCGAATTTATTAGCTAGAGAATGATCTTAGAAGAGCGTACTCTAACGGAACTATCCACCTACGCTCTTGTAAGATCATTCTCTAGTTAATAAATTATCACACTAAAGCTTCATTCTAGATAGCATTTCCAACCAACTCTGATCATGGAAATACAGGTATACCTCGATATAACGTAATTGTCACTTTTGACTTCTATGTCAATATCTCGCTAATAACAATTGAATCATACAAATTAATAATACCAATTGATGGAGGATTATCTCATCGTCCGATGGTGCTATTACTTTGCGCATTTGAATGATCGTTTACGACAAATCAGCGATGGAAGTCAAAAGTGACAGTTACGTTATATCAAGGTATACTTGTATTTGCGTTTGTGAGATGTGAATTTACCAATTCATTTTTCTATTTCAGCGATCTAAAACTTAAATCCAATAACTAGAATTTAAACGGTTGTACAGCTATTACTATACTCATTGTTGATTAATGTCCCCAATTTTAAAACAGAATAATAAAAAATGAGCATTAGACACGTGCTTACTGAACCTATGCTATTGACAGCGCTCGAGTTTTGCACCCAAACGCTAACATATTCAATTCAAATTTAAAGTAGAGACATCTTTTCAACCGATACATATCCGATTAGCATCTGTTTAACCTTTAATCCTTTGTTGTTATTTTCAGAAGTACGGTAACCTACCTCGCCGACCATTTGAACGTTCACCAGGAAGAGGCGCTGGATGGTCAATCGTCTCCGGTGATAACCGTGATGGATGTCCACCGTTTGGAAGAATCTGACGAAGACGTCCAGAATGCCGTTAATCAGTACTATATGAAGCTGGAGATGCCGGATGGTTCCTCCGGTGAGGACGATGACGGTGCCAATTTGGCTACCGATCCGGATAATACTTTCTTCCGTAAATACATTACGCAGTACAAGATGGAATCAATGAGGTAAGTGAATGAACATTACTTGGGTTGCATGTTGGTTGTGAATGTTTTCGTGTGTTATTGTCGTTTGTGATTTGGATTTTCACTACCTAGTGCGTTTGGTTTCAACGAGCATTATCGGCATCATAGTAAACGTTATTCGAATACATGAAAACATGCTCTAAATCTTCTACGTCATTCGATTTCTGCCACTAATTTGTAACTGTGAAGCGCTGATCGTATAAGCGCAAAAATACTAGTTTATCGCCCAATCCCCATACACATACTGAAGCTAACCATTACCTGCGAGATAGGAATTTAACGGTTTCTCGAGAGAGGATCCACTGTCCACCCAATTTCAAACAGTTATTACCCGTCAGTCAACGTTGCGGCGGAACCAAATCGGTGATGCTGTTGCTGGTTGGCTTTTTTTTTCGGAGTTTGATGTTTACTTTTGCATACGGACGTGGCTGTGGTGGTGTCTCGCGGCGGTTGTCCATTTCAACGGACCAGAATAAACAAGTTCAATTATCTATGATCAAAAAGCGTGAAGATTAGCTTTTGTGTGGAGCTCTAATGGGCTCACGTCGTCGCTGATAATCGATTTTGGAAGTGCAGATTGTTGAAAGGTGGAGTCGGATGATCGGGAAAATTTGCGCCGATGAGATGGTCTAACGGTTTTCTCTGATTACCCGTACAGACTGTCGTTCGCACTGTGGTCTGTTTGGCACTAGCGTGCGCAGAAGGGATGGCAATCAACACCCAAACTGGCACCGTCAGTCATTTTGTTCATTTGAGAGCTGTTGTTGGGCCTTACACGTACGTTATATGATTACTTTTTTTACTTGGTTTGTTTTCCGTCGATCTTGTTTTCCGTACTGAATACCAATGATACCGCCACAAGGGAGGCAGCTCTCACACCTGGACCCTACCTGGTATTGAACCCAGGCCTTTTGGGGTGAGAGGCAATCACGCTTACCACTACACCACCGGCGCCGCTACATACATGGTTACTTCTTTGGATTTGAACTGTTGTTTTTTTTTTCACGGAATTTTTGAAAGTTGTAGCAAAGAATTTACCACAGAAGATTCTGTGGTATACCAAAGACTGTACAAAATGAAAGCCGGTTACCTAAACGTAATTATTTTCAACTAACACGTAACACCTAATAAGGTCCACGTTAAATTTCGGACACTAATATAATGTCGGGAAAAAAATCTACACATAATACAACAAAACCGATTGTTTATTTCAGTAAAGTAGACTTATATCTAAAGCAAACGTAGCTTATTTAAATGTTAATTCGTTTGTCTTTCTTGATCTTTCTGTGGGATACCCGCCATCAGGTTCCGTACAGTATCCTCAGATACCTTAGTGGCGGCGTGCCTCCATCTCCTCTTGAAATCATTGATGCCATTTGCTTTACTCTTTGTTTCGTATAGTTTCCGCTTAACCAGTGCCCAGTACCTTTCTATTGGGCGAAGTTCTGGATAGCTTGGCGGATTGGCTGTTTTTGGCACGTATTTGACCTCTTGTGCATTATACCATTCTAGGACGGATTTTGCATAGTGGCAAGAAGCTAAATCAGGCCAAAACAGAGATGGAGTGTCGTGGCTTCTGTTGAATGGTAGCAACCGCATTTGCAAATCTCGATAACTTTTTCAAAGGTACGTATCAGCTTTTGTAAACAATGCATTTGATCGTCGATTTGGCGTAACTGGTAGCTCGCACACGCTTACTAACACCACTATCAGGTAGAGGAAAATTTCCCCTATCTGATGGCAGTGTTAGCATGCGTGGGCGAGCTACCAGTTACGCCAAATCGACGATCAAATGCATTGTTTACAAAAGCTGATACGTCCCTTTGAAAAAGTTATCGAGAAATATTCATTCTCGTACACATCTTTGTTGATGCCGGTAGAGATGTAACTTTTGGATTTCTGGCCGCAACTACATAAGGCCTGCAAAACCAAATAGTTTATGGGGAATTTCGAATACTTCTTTGTCCAGAAACACTCGACAACGGCATTCCTTTGCATTGTAGTATAAAAAGCCAAATCCAGAAGCTGTTGAAAGTCTTCGAGCACGTATGTTTCGTCGTCCATTATGATAAAAGATTTTTTTTTGGAAAATCTGGGTGAAAAAGTTCCGTGGCACGACTTTTTGCAGTAAAATTTTGCTTATTATTACGATGTGGCATCTTTTTCACTTTGTTCGCCTTCAGCCCGTGCCTCTGCTTCACTTTTTGTACATATTATTTTGATTTTCCAACTTTGCGAGCCACATTACGAACTGAAAGGTTTGACTGTTTCTCAATAATCCATTTGTCAAGAGCATACTTTTCGATTTGTTCCGCTTCCAACCTTCCGATCCACAATTAAGCACTGGTCAAACGGGTTGCACAAACTAAATACGGTACTCTTCGGCAGATTTAGCCTTTTGGCGAGGTCGCGTACCGACATCGTTGGATTTTGCTGCCGTTCGTACAAAATGCGTTTGCGTACTTCCACTTGATTCGGCGCCATTTTACCAGCCGGTGGAAACTAACGATTTAAAATTGGTTCACTACTTGACTAGCCTATTGGTCCCAAGTACATCTACAAGCGTACCACATTCTAGTCGAAATTCTACTACTACACTCAGGGATGGAAAATCATTTACATACATTTCGTGCATTCATTTACATTCTTTTGCCTGCAACTTTTTCCATCAACAGAATACCGTAAAATGGTGTATGAAGCTTTTGTAGCTTTTGATATTAACTACAACTTTTGTAAATAATTAAAACCTGAATCTCTTATGCATGACGAACTAAAGCTGGCAGAACATGTTATTGTTTTTCAGTGAATGCAATTTACATTCACTGAAAAACAACGGTGGGTTGTTATCACTCTGATTCATCATGCATAAGAGATACAGATTTAAGTTGTTTACAAAAGATATAGCTAATATCAAAACCTACAAAAGCTTCAAACACTATTTTACGGAATTCTGTTGATGAAAAAAGTTAGAGGCAAATGAATGTAAATGAATGCATGAAATGAATGTAAATGATTTTCCATCCCTGACTACACTATGTTTTTTTGATTCACTATGAAAGTTTGACAGAGAAACAATGAGGGGTTAGTGAATTTTCCTATGTTTCGATCAGCTTGGGACCGAAGATAGTACCAGAGCTGAGCCAAAAAGTTGAGCACGTTTCTTCGGGACATTATGGTCTTAGAGTTACCTCTATGATTTTACCAAACTGAAGAAGAATGGAAACATGTTGTACCTCGAAATAAAGCGAAAAGCTTCAGCTGTCATATAAGTGAAACATTTCAGCGGTTCGTGAAATATTTCAAAAACTACACTGATAGAAAAGTGTCCGAAATTCAACGTGGATAGGCACTACAACCAATTTTTTCACCAAATCAAAATCAATTCTGGTAGCTTAACTAATGAGTGCCTATATATAACAGGGTCCTAAAAATTTAACAGAAGCTCCATCTGACCAGTATCCTATGAACAGCAAGTAAATTCTTGTATTGCTAAAATCTTAACACTCCGAATACGGTGGGTAAAAAACTTTACGTCGACTACGAAGCGTCCGAAAAACGTGTAACGGCAAGTTTGCAATGGCATAACTTAGCCATTTCTTGATGAATTTCAAAAATTGTTGTACATCTAGGATTCCTAGGGTCTGTAGATTATTTTGATAGTAAAAATAGGGTTGCTTCTTTTTTAAAGTGAAAAAAGTCGTTACACGTTTTTTATGGTTTGTTTATGGGTTAGTGGCTTAAGATCTATAATTTTGATTAATGAGCACAAATGTTAATAATTAGCCAGAATACAGTCATGGTTCCAACGAAACGGTCCTTCGGAAGATCCGGAACATCCGTAAAAATGGTCAATAGATGAATAGACCCAGACGGCCATCAGACCGTCCTCCGGAAGATCCAAAACATCCGAAAAAGTGGTCAATCCATGAAACTGATCCTAGAGCTCTGCAATTTTTGAAAAACACTAGGAACTGTAATTTTTTTTTTCCTTGATTTGTTTTCCGTCGATTTTGTTTTCCGTGCTGAGCACCAATGCTACCGACGCCAGGGAGACAGCTCCCACACCTGGACCCTACCTATCGATCCATCAACTCATGAACCGGGGACCAACGGCTTTACTTTCCGTGGCGTGATCAGAGATGTTATGCCTCAGAACATCCCGGCGGTGCCGACTGGGATTGAACCCAGGCCTGCTGGGGTGAGAGGCAATCACGCTTAACACTACACCACCGGCGCCGCTACTAGGAACTGTGATGATATAATGAATTTGGGGTCGTGACTTAAACATGATCTCTGATGCTCATGGGACCGTCCTCCGGAAAATCCGAAACATCCGTAAAAGTGGTCAATCCACGAAACTGATCTTAGAGCTCCGCAGATTTTTTTTTTCTTGAAAACATTAGGAACTGTGATATAAGAAAGAAGATCGGGAACATTCATAAAAGTAGTCAATCTATGAAACTGATCCTAGAGCTACACTGTTTTTTTTTTCCAAACTTGGCCATCAGGGATCATGTTTATTTCACGACCTCAAATTCATTATTATATCACAGTTCCTAGTGTTTTTCAAAAACTGCGGAGCTCTAGGATCAGTTTCATGGATTGACCGCTTTTACGGATGTTTCGGATCTTTCGAAGGACGCTCCCATTGCCATCCAGGTCCATGTTTATGTCACGACCCCATTTTTTTTCTTATATCACAGTTCCTAATGTAAAAAAAAACACGGATCTCCAGGAACAGTTTCGTGGTTGACCACTTTTACGGTTGTTCCGGATCTTCCGAAGGACCGTTCCGTTGTCTCGAGGGTCCATATTTAGGAATCATGACTATATTCTGGCTAATTTGTGCCCATCAATCTAAATTATAGATCTTAAGCCACTAGCAAAACCCTTTTTATTCTTCCTTGGAGGCTATTCGATATTTAACCTGGAAATCCATAACAGTCTCAGAATTCTGTGCATAATATCTCTTGGAATTCACA